TTTTCACTCGTACGAAACGTTGTGTTTGTATGTAGTAGAAAAAAATCACGTTTTAATAATTGTCGTAAAACAAAAAGTGCATAATTTTTTTAATTATTTCCTTAGAAATAATTTTCACGTCCAAGAGCAGGCGCCATTTAGACATATTCAGCAATGAAAGTGACTGACCATTATTATTTTAATCGTTTACAAGTGTGTGGAATAATGTACAGTAGTAGACAATTTATTATCTCAGCTGTCAATGCAATATGCTATTTCTTATCTGGGACGATTCTGCGTTAGTAGATTCTGATTGTAAAGGCATAGATTTCTTATTACCAACACAACCGCATTCCATTCCCTTTAAAATATGTATTCCTGCTGGTATTTTCTTCTGGGTAGATGATACATCATGCAGGAATTTTCAACAGCTCTGCAGTTAGGTATTTTTTTATCCTAATACTTGACCTTGGTTCGTGTGTCAATGGACCGGCACGCTTCATATTTCTTTTCAATATAGTGCAATCGATGTGATATTAGTATTTATTAAACCGTACAAAAAGTGTCTCATGTTTACATACACAAACGTGGTTTTCTTGACTCATCTTTGCCTGCAACTTATTTTATTAGGTGATGAACCTTGATTGTCATACCGCTAGTTTTATCAGTTGGTTTCTCTAGAAAAGATGCAGTTCTGTTAATTCGCAAGAGGTTTCTTTACGAAAATGGTCCGAATTGGCGATTTCTATTCTCCTAAGGATAAATCAGGATTTTTCAGATTTTGTAAAATTCTTTGTATAAAACTGCAACAATTCTTTAGATGTTTTAGCATCTAAAATATCCTCAAAGCTAGCATGTTTTCTACTCCTTTCCGAGCCACCATATGCTTTTAAGCCTGAGACTGTATCTTGTTACGTTTCCCAGTTTGAACGAAAAAAAGTGATGATTTTCTCGGAATCTCAAAGCTTTAACTATAGGTGTCGTCTCGTTTGTCTCATTAGCTGACACGCGATATTCTCACTCATTTCACTTTGTTTGCGAGTGTAACCGACGTACTTCGTGGCGACATGGAACTGGCCTGCGTAGGTTTTGTGATAAATAGTGAGTCTATCCGATAAGAGACACTGTCCAACAACGGATTTTTTTTGCTGTAAATATATCGTACCCTGACTGAACATTTTGGCACCTTTTAAGCCAGTATTGCACACACTGACACTTACACGGACTACACTACCATGCATGACGGAAGTTCAGACCTTGTCCGGTGGTGCGGTGCCCCTCTGATGGTAGATACCTGGTCAGGGAAAACCCCACAAGGTGATGTGTAGGTCAGCGCCGGATCTCATCATCCAGCGGGTGAAGGTTACCGTCACCTCCCGCGATAAAACATGTTCTACACTTTTAGTATCACCTTAGGTGTAGACGCGCCCGGAAACATCAATCAGTCAAGTATAGGATTTCTTTGCTTGAGACTAGAGACGTAGGTGTCGCAATATGTTGCTGAAGGCTTAGAAATTCCAGCACAAACCTATAAGCCGATGTATGTAGCAAAAGAGGTCGCAGGCAATGATATCCACCAACACATTCAGAGGAGCGTAGGAGATGATACACCGTTCGCAATCGTGAAATGCTGGGCCGATGCCCTCCTCACAGTCGCCAACTGACTGCGACACTAACGCGTGAGCCACGAAAGCCACTACCTTATTCACAGGAGGCAGGAATTTTAATCGAGGTGTGATCTATTTACACTTACAATATCAGCTCCTGGACATCACTTCTTCGTAATTAGATTGACTAATTATCAGACAATCATCGAAGAGGCAAGATAGCGGAATTTATAATATCTTTTAAAAGTATAATTTTCCAACATTCAAAAACTTATTATAATATTAAATATCTGATTCATTGACATAAAAAATTTATGTAAAAAAGTTCCAGTTCGTGATTAATTAGAAATTTAAATAATCAGAAATTAAACAGCTCTTTTATATGATAGTCACTACGGAAATTATAAATAAATTATTTTAAAAAATCATTGGCAATGAATCCTTTTAGCCATTGTGAACTCGATTACTTAAAAAAAACATTGCATGGGTTATGTTGATGTTACTTCGCAGGGTTTATATTGATACCCTTCTTATGTAACACGTCTCATAGATTCATCTTTTAAATATTTTCAAATTTATAGAGAAATAACTACATTTTATAAACATTCTCCAACGTATTTTACGATTAAAATTTTGTTCTTGTATTATGTAAAGGCTTTCAGATTCCCCAGATCAAAGATCCGCTTCTTTTTTTCAAATAGATCAACAAGACCGCTTAAATAATATGCTATTAACACTAAATCTTTCTGAAAATAAAATGCTAGGTTCTTCAATGATAGTCGTAGAAATGCGAAGAAGAGGACTGGTGTCAAGCATTGATGAGGTCTTTCGTGAACGATCGAGAATATCCTAGTTTCTCTGCGACTTGCGTAGTAGGATCTCTGTGGCATATTTTTTCAAGTTCCCTGTCCCATCTGACGTGTTAATTACTGTTTGACAACATGACTCGGGGAAGGACGTCGCGACTGTTTCACACTTTGACGCTTAGGATGAGTACTCGGGTGTAAACAAGGGCGTATTTTCAAGATTAACTTCCAAAAGGCACTAGTTTGCAAAATTTTTGTTATTTTCTTAATAACATACTTCTATTTCACGTCACAAATTCACAGTCATTTATAACAATTCACAATGAATAAAATCAAAATTGAGAATAGGATCATCTTAGAGGTAGATTTCCAGCCAATATATAATAGAAAATGAGTTGAAATCATTCTTTTGCTCTTCAGAAAAATATTTTTAAAACAGACTCATTTTGCACTTTATATTTACGTAATGAATTACATCAATGCGTGAAAGTGGAATGTACTAGATGAGCATCAGCAGAGAAAATACATCTTATGTATCCTTTATAGCTAGGTAAATTTACAAGGCACTTCAGTCTTTATGTTTCTTGTAGTGGGTTGTCTATATTTTTTGCCTATAATTCACGAGAAGTTTCTTTTATTTACTATACAAGTGCCGTCTTTAAGTACCTGAGGCCCAGCGAACAGTGCAACGAAGGTAAGGTATAATACGTATAGTAAGTCTTCAATGATCTTCTTCGATCTTCCTTGGTAAAAAATGTATAATCGAATAAAGGTCTATAAGCCCCCCTAAGGTTTTTGAAGGAAAATTTCAGAAGGGTTCGACATATTCCTCTGTTCGCTGTAATAATGTTGTTTAAAAACTGTAAATTCCCTGCATTTTTAATTGTCAACAGGTCCTTAGACGATTACAGCTGTAATATCAGAATACAAATTATATGCATCCATTTGTAACAATGTTTGAAAATGAAAGGTCATTTTTGGACAATTGTTTTGCCTGCTTTCGAGATTCTTCGTTATATACTCCCTCCATTTTTTATGGCCAATTTTTGGAAAATAAGGGGGGTTGTATTCCAGAAAATGCGGTATTTCCTGATAAAGGATATTTGTTTCTCGGGGATTTAAGTGAATATAAAAATTAACCACTGAAGGCATAATTTTACCAGAAATTCGCTCTTAATTAGGCCTAATGAACAATATGCTTATCTCCAAAGTTTGGATAATCTTTTCCGTACTACTCTCAAGCTCAGGCTCAAACTCAATTGATTTTTTTGAAAGAAGATACCCATCTATCTTACCAAACCATCTATCTTACTTTCCATTACTCAATCACTCTACTCAAAGCATCACTGTGTTTGTAAATAAGCAGATAGAAAACAAAAAGTCATTCTCATTGTATTTGTGAGTAAAATTAAGAAAAAAACTATTTTAAGATAATTACATTATGACAATTATATAAGATAATTATTACCAAAGTTTGACAATGAAAGCGGAACCATATAATCCTTTCAATGCAAGTCATGATGTGACAATAAAACGCAGCTCTTATGTTAAAACGAGTGAGACGTGCGCTTCTCCGATTTTTCTCTTCAAGAAATACTAGTATGCTAAACGTAAATGTACGTAAGCTAGTGTGGCCCTATCGTTTTGCTTAACAGAACATATAGGTGTGACGTCATTGGAGTGCGCTGGAAGATATACTGCAAAACTCGGATTTCGAACTATTTAGTCCAATCAAACTCTTAAGCGTATAGTTTCATAATAAAGATGCCACTATATTTATGTGCAGGTGTCAGCCAGAGATGGAGGTCCTCCTTACTCCCAGAGACCCAGTCAAGAACATACAGATTTTCAGTACTCAAAGTGTGCAAGCAGACGTTATGAATTGCAAAATCGTTGGCGTTTTGAATATTTATAGATTTTGGGAAAACGTCATCTTCCTTAGTTTTACTTCCCCTTTTATCTTACGTTTTCGGTGAACACAAAAAGTTCTCACAAGTCAATATTATTACTATAAATTTGTTGAGTGATAAACAATTGCGATATATCGAATTTAAATAAATTACTTGTGTTACTGCAACTCAAAAAACACGTCTCAATAAGATAAAGTGTGGTGAACTATATAGTATCTGGTTTGTCCGTTTCCCTCCAGATTGGCAGTGTCGATGTTGGCCTTCTGAACGATACCTTAAAAGATACCATCAATGAACGACCTTCCCCGAATACAATGAACTGCTCAGTGTAGTAAACAAACGTAGGCCATAACACAGCCACCAAAACACATCTGAGAAAAGGCATAAGCCAGATAGTAGGCAACGAGAGTTATAGTTTCCCCCCAATTAAAAAAAATATATCAAGTGTCAATCAATTCATGGCTACTTCGAGTGACAAATACGACTATTGTGTGTAATATCCCTACAATTACAATCTAAACAACTTCTGTTTGGAGATTATTTTTCTGTCGTGGAGAGGAAAATGGTCAAAATTCCGGAATAGCGTTTTTGTTTAATGTTTTGTAGGAAGGTCTCAGTCACTGCATTGCTTCGATGCTCGTGTGTCGAGCATCCCCAGAAATTAATGTTAGCTAAGGTTCTGCCTAGAACGCACTTACCCTTGAAGACCGGCTCGAGAGCGTTGTAGGGAGGCGAAACCAGCTTCGGCGACGGTCCTTCGCAACCCAGCGCCGAGCGGTAGGCAGCTGGCGTTCTGGTAAGGCACGCCAACCGACGCCGAGGGGAAGGGCGCGGAGGTCGGAACGGCGCGGAGCCAGGCGGCGGACTGACTGAGCCGCTGATGCTCCAAGGCACGGCCTCCTCCTCCTCCTCCTACAGCTCCTCAGCGGAGTCCAGGAGGCGGGGAGCGGGCGGGCGAGCGGAGCGGGCTCGCGGCGGAGGCGGAGGCGGCGGAGGCGGCGGCGGCGGCGGCGGCAGAGAGGCACGTCGAGGGGCTTTGTGCCTCAGGCTGCCTCCACCGCCGCCGCCGCCGCCGCCGCCGCCGTGGCCATTCACAGACATTCCGTGGACCTCCACACTAATTTGTCGCCGGTGCTCTCACGTACTACACTCAGCCCCGAAAGTCCGCCTACCTGCCCGCACCTGCGCGCCTCCGCCACCTCCTTCTCAAAGCAAACACTCCGCCAGGGCTACTGGGAGACTCTCTGGGCTGAAATGTGACGCAATGGTTGCTTGAGGCTCAAATCGCGAGCTTAAACGGCGCGTTTCTGAAATGTTTACCATTCAACGGACTTCATGTAATATGTGTGTATATGATGCAGCAGAATCTGAAAGTTGTTTTTGGGAAATTCAATTTAAAAATAGTATTACTTTACGTGTACATGTGTTTAAATAGATAGATAATTTATTTAATTTGCTTTCGGCAAGCAAGGTGGCAAATTCTTCACTCTTATTATACATCTAATACAGTAATATAATACAATAAATAACACTATACTACATACAATACAATACATACGAGTATAACAGTAAACAATAAATGTGTTATGCTCTCATGTGAAGGGGTTTCTAAAAATGTTTTCTTCAAGACTAGAGTATTATTTTATTTCCTTTATTTATGCTGTTATTAATTAGGAAGTAGAGGCTCAGACCTCAAGTATATAATTGTCGTTTAAAGCAATCACAGGTAATTCGTTTTCGAAGTACTATACCCTAAAATGCATTCCATCCGTTCATAAAGATGACTCCCAAGGTCTAAGCTCTCAATAATACATTTATTAAATGGTATGACTTTATCATCATTAGTGACTATAATAAATTAAACAAATTATGCTATCCTTAGAAAGAAACGTTGAGCTGCGACACGACACTTGGAAGTGTATCTTGAAACCAAGAGTATCGAGCGTTAGGAGACTGGAGACAAAAAACGGAACACTTCAGAAGTGTTGTATAGGCATTTCAGCAATGCCTCTTGAAAGACTTCTTTGCTATCGGGTTTTTAACGACGATTCGATCTTTTACTTATGTGTGGTCGATTAATGATGTTAAGTACTCGTATGAAATATTACAATGAGTAATATATCAGTAGTTTGGTACGCTAAACTATTCTATTTCATGTTTTTATGTACTCTTGAAAGAATAAATATTTTTTTTTAAATGACTACTGATCTTTTCTTTGATATTAACATAAGTATACATAAAAATTGAAACTGATAATAACTCGTGTTATAAGTTGTAATTCAAAAGTGGTTGTTCACTAACATTTACGCAAATGATCTTATTTGGAGTTTGTGTAATAATTACTTTTTTTTATTATTTCTTGAAGTGGCGAGTACGACCTTTCTGTGCAATAAATTACACCCGTTGATTGAAATCCGTGCTCGGCGCTGGCGTAAACATGCAGTAGGTCCTCTGAACATCCTCCCGGGCGGACGTCGAGGAGGCGAGAACGCACGCAGCAAACACCTCGAGGACCTGTGAGGTCCTCGTTGAGGGCGGATGGCCTTGGCGATAAGGTTCTGATCGGTATGCTTGACGCCTGCGTTCGTTTCTGCTTTCGAATGCGCGCACTTTTATAGCAAACAAGCTGAACGCTCCGTTCGTTGCGACCTTAATTGGAAACACACTGGAAACGGCGAAGAAAATTCCATAATGTGCAAGTTGCGAACCAGTTTCCAGTATCCATTTTCGTGTTTCAGCACAATACCGTGGTCGAGGCAGGTGTTTCTGTTGTTCGCTTTCTACTAAACACGCACAGTACGGTTCCAGCTCGTAAGTTGATTGAAGATTGGCACGTCCATGTTTCAGAATGTATAGAATTATTTTGCCGGAGAGAACAATTGTATTTGTTAGCGTAAATGAGTTATTTCCTATAAAACATGAGTGTCTAATTTATTTCTGATGAAATCTTAATACTCAACTCTCTGGCTTAAGAAAAGTAGACGTTAGTATTCACGGACAACAAATAAAGCAATAATATTCGCCATCAATGGCATAATGAAAACAAAAATGTCTGAACAATTTGCAGACACATAAACATATCTGTTCAATCAAATGAATATGTTGCAGAATGTTAAGAAACTATGAGGGAGAGCCAACATATGATAATATAGCAAGAGCTCTATCTCTAATCTTCTTTCGACCTCGCTTTATTTTATCGCATACGTACGTATATACAGTCATGTAGTTTAAGAGAAAATTTTGTAATGCTGTAAATAACCTATGTCAAGGTTTCAATAGAAATATCCGTTTTACCATCCAATCATACCGACTTTCTTTTTCAAAACGTCCGTTTGTCTGTCCGACCGTCCGTCTGTGAACAACACTAGCGCCTAAAACATTCACTTTTTTTTCCGAAATGAGTATTTCCCGCCTCGACTGAAGGCCCGGCGAATTTGATTTTTTTTTAATTTTGAGGGATCATATGTGCTGCCCTTGAAATATTTTCAAAACTTTCTTAAAAAAATGGCCCCAATTTCTTTTCTTTTGAATTTCTTGTAATAATAAAGTGAAATACTCGTATAAAGATTGCTTATGTACGTTTTTTACCATCACCTCTGAATTTTCGAAAGCTGCAAAACTTTGGAATTTTTGTTGAACCCCTTCATACAACTATATTATTAAAGAGAGATTTTTTCGTCAAGTGAAAGTTGCTTTCCCCAATTAGTTCTTTAATGTGATGTACATATCGTAAATAATATTAATAGTTTTTTTTATTAATTTGTGGTGAAATATTGGTAACGTCTAAAAACAAGAATTTCTCAAACACTGTTCCTAATTTTCCATTAACACAGGCTAAGGTGGCTCAGGGCATCAAGTGATATCACTGCAGCGCGTCTGACCGGCAGGTTCTAGGGTTCCCGACCAGACGGTCGCAGGATTGTCGACGCTGGCTAGATAGGTCGAATTCAACTGCTATCTGGAGATTTATAGCAACCGGCTGTTCTGATACGTTGTTTTCCGTAGTTTCTCCAATCAAAACCAAGCGTATGACGCCGCAGTACCCTAAAAAAATGGGCCATGGACTGCGAGCTTGCTTTCCTTCCCCATCCTCTCCTCTCTTCTTAGGCACACTTACACTTACATGCAATACACTATCACGGGAACCAGTCGAGAGCTTGTAGCTTGTCCCGGTTAAGGCAGTGCCCCGCTGGGGAAGATACCTAGATGAGGAAAATCTAGCAAACGTGATGGTTGGCACCGGGTCTCATCATTTAATATGAGAAGAACACTGCCACCTCCCGTGATAAAAAAACACGCTCAACACCTACTAAGTTTACCAATATTAAAAGTAATTTTTAAATATCTCACGACGTTAATATTTAGATTAAGGTGTAGTTTATAATTTATTGCAGAACAAGTGCTTCAGATGGTTTCTATTGAAGTTTTTGGAGATTTCAAATTAAAACAAAGGTTCAAAATTGTGCATTTTCGCAAAAGTTCAGACGACATTTTTTCAAAAACGGCTCGCGTAGGCTTAAACCAGTCAGTTTAATTTACAAGTTTTGTTAAATTGTTATTATTTTACTTACCTACATCACGTTTACAAAAAGTAGGATACTACGAAGTGAGTCGGCCTCGTGAGATAGGTGAGTCGTGCACAGCAAGGACGTGAGTTCGAAACCCGCGTAAGGTATTCATGTTTTAATTTTTCATCGTGACATTGGATGGTATTCCTTCTTTATTACATCTTTACCCTAATCTTTGCACAATATATTTTCCTGGCAGGCACGTTTGTGTCCAATCTTTTCGTGCAAATGAGGAACTGGATTCTTATTCCCAGAACAATGTTACAAACACCGAGAAGGGGTCAAGGGATGTAATGGAGCAAATACCGAAAGTTATAGTACAGCGTACAGCGGCAATGCGATGTTGAGGGGGCACGAAGATGCTCTTGAATGGGAATGTTCCCAGAGGAGAGAACGAGAGACTCTGATAAGCGAGAGGCCCTGAAAGGTCTTTCAGCCGCCGATTTACAGCAGTTGGGAGAGGGTGGGGCAAAACCGGAAAGCAAGGCTAGGGTAAAAAGAATTGGAAACTAACTTTACGAGAAAATTTGTACCATTCAGCACCACTAGTTTATTTACTTATTTTTGCTCGGATGGCCATCGCTTGCTTGTTTGGTTGGTTCTTTAATATTAACTAGGTATTCCCTTCTCAATGCAATCCTCTACTTATTACTACAAATTTAAATGGTGTATTTTTTCGAAATATTAGTAGTTTTCGTTTAATAATTGGCCAAATTGTGACAGTTTTCCAAATATAACCAAAGAACATTTTTTAAATGGGTTGATTTTTTGTATTAATAGAATATATGGACTAAATTAAGTGGTACAAGCACCATTTCTATTAAAAGTTTTGAATTCCTCTGTATTTTTAAACAACTCCAATGCTATTTTTCATTACAGACGTAATGAATGTCTAAACACAAAGGCTACAAATAATTTCTAAAGAAGTTTCTAGAAATCTCAAACATTTTCGAGAGTAAATATTTGTTTCAATTTGTTGAGTGTCGGTGGGAGCAGTAAGAAGTTTTGTTCGTTGTCTACGGAATTGAAGGCCGGGGTTTGTCTCGTAAAACGGTAAATTGTCTTCCTTTAACTTCAATTTTCTTTAAAACATCTGTAATATGGAAAGTTGCTAACTCAAATCACCTGCGTTTCTTTTGTTGAAGATAGATTTTATAGATATTATGACATCTAATAGTGAAATACATCAAGAAGTTGGTACTATTTTTTACGCGTTTGATTAATATTGATATCCAGAATTTTATTGAATGCCTGTTAACTATTTCGAATTGAGTAACTTGGACTTTGAAGAACTTTCCAACAAATTACTTCCCCAAAAGTAAATTGGTTACAGTGAAGAACGGC